TTTTTTCTTCAATTAAACAATCTTATAAACGCATTTACTACACTTGCTGAAACAGTGTTTTCCGTTACGACACTCAACTACCTATCTGAATAATTTTCAACTTTGGAAGAACTAAAAATGGGTTCAAACCTCCTGGACATAAATAGGGATCACTTGAAAATAATTATTTTGTAAAATAATTATTAAATTGAATCTAAACATTTAACATTAAGTATATTAAATATTTTTATAACTCCAATATTTTAAGCACATTTAATGTGATAAGTGAAGAAAATATCTCCACATTTTCACATATAATATATTTTTTACATCTCAATTCAGCTTTACCATATATTTATTCTAATTCCCTAGTGGTTTAAATTTTTTTATTATAATTTTATAAACTTTGAAGACTAACTCCCACGGATCCAATAGTCAAATCGACAAGTATTCATACATGTGTGCTTTTTCTAGTTTACACGTTCAACACGTGCTGGTTGTGTTTATATATGTGTATAATTTGAATATGCATAATTATTTATATATGAATTTGTAATATTAAAATGTACATAATAATGCATATTTTATAGTATTAAAATATAATAGATAAATGATGAAAATTATATAAAATATAAAATATATTGAAACAAAATATTTAACTAATATAGTTTAATTATATGTTTGATCAGTCCTTCAACCAAAATCCAAAGGTGAATTAATGATATTATGCCTAATCATATAATAACATAGTCAAACAAAAGGATATGTTAACAAATTTAGGCACAGTTGACTTTAAATATTATAGTTGACAGGATTATATACATATTTTTCTAACTTCTGATTCAATTTATGTGTCAATGGTGGTCCAATTAAATCATTTTACTTTGCTGCTCATTTTTAATATTCAAACCTATTTTTCGCATTTCAGGAGTGTCAAAACTTCTCATTCCTCACACTTCATCTTTCCACTTTTTTTCTTCATAGTAATATTTGGATACTTAATAAATTTTTACACCCACTTACATTGATTGTTTTATTTTTTAATTTCTTTCTTCTTGTAAATATAAAAATTATTTCTTTTTAATGACTGAAATATTTCTAAAAATAAAAGTTCAAATGGTGTAACTAATATAAAAAAACATTTTCTTTTTCTTTTCTATGATACAAATGTGAATTTCTTTTGTTTTTATGTCATGCATGTTCGGTATATTTACTAGTATTATTTGTGACACTAACGTTATAAACAAAGTAAAAAAAATCATAATATAATATTTACTTTTTCAGAATTACTTTTTGTTTTTACTACTCTCTTTCTCATCACACTAAATGTCATTCATTATTCATCTCAAACACCAACTATACACTTAATAATTCTATCATACACATTCATACAACTTTCTTCTTATGAAAGACAACGTTGGAAATCGCTACACCTGATGACTTACTTTTACATTGGAAGTTGTTGTCTGATAATTTTAGTTAAAAAATTCTCATGAGAAGTTATTAAGTTGTTGCACGATTTAAGTTTTTTCAAATTTTATTAAGAAGTCATCTTCATGTCATATGACTTCACTTTAGAAGTTATGGGAGACCAACACGACCTGTCTTATGCCTGGTAATTTTTTAGTGAAGTTTCCATTTTGGTAATTATAAATAAAAAATGTCTCATTGATGTATAAAAACCCAAAACTAACTAAGGGTTTTTGGCCCTCCCCAAAATTGAAAATGAGTCTTACATATATTCGTGTTAAGTGTGTTAACTACTCATTATGTGACTTTTATATGTTTACAATTATCGATTGATAATAAACATACGTTAAAACTATCTCCAAATGTAAATGCATGTGGAGTGAGTTATGCTTGTTTTTGTAAAAATATTATTTTTGTGATAATAATATTAAGCAAATTTTGAGTCATCATACATGCATTAATATATTGGAAGCATTTCTCCACCATGCATGCATCTAAATAATCTTAAATCCCATTAAATCCCATCATTCCCATGTTGAATCCAAACACTATGCATTTCTCCATCCCAAGTGCAAGACAATGTTTTTTTTTTTTTAAATGAGTGGGACAAATTTGCTCATAAATTACGTAAAGGAACAAGTTAGAAAACAAAAAGTGATGTTGTCAAGGATATATATATATATATATAACAATTAAATGTGTTAGGATCATTAAATTTATTAGCCAATTTATTAAAATTATACAATTAATTTAAATCTATAACCAATAGCATATATGTCATAAAAGATTAATTGCATAAAGATCATAAACAATAGTTTAATTTGATGAAGGGTCAAATTAAAAACATTGAAATTTAATAAAGAGTAACTGACAAATATTACATAAATGGGTCATCATAAGAGAAAGGTCAAATACCTTTGACCTACATTTTTCCCAGTGATCAATCTAGTATGTTCTACAAGGTCTTGGAGTTTGCACAATTAATTAAAGGGTTTAATTTTTCATTTGTTATTGATATGTAATGGGTGCATAATTTAATGGTCATGACTCTTAACGACTTCATTTATTTTCTTTTTGACTTGCACATTTATGTAATTTGTTGGCAAATATGCCATACTTGTGCAAAAAAAGCTCGAGATAATACCACGTGCCACCATGAAAGGCTTTTCATCTCAACACCAAAATCATTCACCTGCATCGCAAAAATTATATATTACAAGTTTCAACGGTTAGTCGTTACCTTATTTATAGTCAATGTGGGGGCTTCCAACACACCCCTTGACGCAGGTGTATATACATCTCGAATGTGAGAGTAGTCATTAATGGGTGAGACAGGACTTTAACTCATATCTTTAATATCATGTTAAAAAATTAACTTTAAGTCTAACTCAACCTCACAAAACTAGTTTATATGGTGAGGTTTGAACACACTTATATACTATGAAATTGTTTTATCTTTAGTTGATATGAGACTTTTAAGAGTCTCTTCAACTTACAATAATATTTATATAAAAGCATATCACATTTGGTGGATATTTATGATTGTGCCATCTCTAGTGAAGCAAAGTGACATTCATTTATTATTTTATCATACGATAATGAAAAATTCTTCAACTCCAACTAAAGATATGATCACTACTTCTACATGAAATATCTTTCTTTTGTAAGGTGAGAATGCAATAAACCTTACATATGAAAAGACCAACACAATTGAGGAATCGTGACCATTGTTCTTTCTTTTTTTTCTCTACAATAGAGGCATAACAATGGAAATACTGTTCCATCGCAGAGAAAGAGTGTATTGAGAATTGTTCTTGTTGCTTTGGAAATTATACAAAATGTCGTATAAGCACATGCACAACACCTTCCTTATAATCATTAGTCTAATCACGTTATTTTTAAGGTTGAGTATATGTTGTTACCAAAAACACCACTATTCATCTACACCATTAGACTAGTCAACGAGAAGAATGACTCTAAAACCAAATACTACAATATCTTTATTTTTATTTATTTTTGTTTAATTGTGATACATGGATCTTAAGTTAAAAAGTTAGAAATAAGTGTCACCCTACACTATATTATTCATAGCTAAGATATGAAATTAGACGTTAAAATTGATTTTGGATCAATTAAGTGAAGCGAGTCCATTTTAAATTTATAAATTGTTTTAATTGCTTTAATATTTAAGAAACTTAATTGAAAAACTAAACTTTTCTATTAACTATTTAAATATTTAATTATATAAGATATGTACACATGTGTATAAAATAATAAAAATGTCACTGTTGTTTATATTCTTTTAAATAAAGTAAACCAATTCATCAGTGGTTTTAGTTGGATTTAAAAATTCATGTCTTGTATCAAAATAAACAAAATTCAGTTATTTTATTAACTCAATGATGAATTAGTTTTATAAATTGAGTTAACTCATTCTAACTTTCTTATAGATAAAAAAAAGAGAGTAAATAATTTATTTGATTGAGTTTTCACAACATGTTTGTTTACACATGTTAAAATATAATTAAATATATCAATAATAGTTTTTAAATATCATTATCTCTTAATTTATCAATATTTTGAAGACAAAATCACACAACAATACCAAATAAAATTATGCTATATTTTTTTAGTGAAATACCCTATTGATCTAATATCATATTAATGAATTTGGAATTAAAATCATTATATGTTTTGTAAAGACATAAAAAAGTTTCTATAACACTTTTGTATATTTTTTTAGATGTTTTAGTATTAAAGAACATTTTATCTACATATTTTCCATTAATCAATTACAACAATAATATTCCAATGAATTTGAATCATTTACTTACAAATACGAATGACTAGGAGTTCATGATTTTTGAATGTAACCTACTCCACTTTAGATTTTTTTTATTAATTAAAAAAGAGTTGTAATAATAACAATAAATAACCGAAGAATAATACAAAATATGGTTTAGATTATAATAATAAAAATTATAAAATATATGAAACTAAATTTTAAAAGTTTAAAAAATAATAGGAGTTATATACAACATGAAAGACATGAAATTGTAGACAATGAATTAGTTGGGTTCCTCAATTGATTGTTCATAAAATGAATCATTGGATCCATTTTCTAATCCATTGTTGATAACATGAATCATTGATTGTAAAAACTAAAAGGTAAAGAAATTCCCATGAATATTAATGCTTATAATAATTTGTTTACTTTTTATTATTTTTAATTAGTGACTGTAGCAATTATAAATATTTAAAAAACTTTAACTTTTAAGAGTTATTTGTTAGTTAATTATTATTTGATAGAATGTTAATCTTATTTTAAAGTGAATTTACCCCCAATAACACTTTGTTTTATGTAATTATTATAATGTTGTTTGTTTGTATAATTTAAACCTTTATATCAGTTAAAAAATTTACAAGTATTTAATGTTTTTCATAAAATAGTTAGCCTCCATTTGCATCATATCAACACATCTTAAAAGTTATGCAATCAAAAGTCTCAAACTACAATGTATTCCTTAATCTGAAATTAATAACTTTTTGAATTGATTTTGATATTTTGTCTAGTTACCCTAAGACTAGAAGGTTGTATTCCTTAATGTACCCTAAATTCGTGAAGAACTTGGAACTTTAGATAAATAAGAAAGTATAAAACTCTTTACATTTTTAACAGGTTGGAGACAAATTGCAAAGTTCTTCACTTAGTTTCAGACATTTCAACAAAATCCTAATTCTGGTATCACAGTGGCGGTGGGTGTAAGAATGGGGAACAGACGCTTCACTCAGGTAGCAACCAGCGACGAGGAGGACGAAACGCCTCCGCCGAAGCAGCAATCCACCGACAGTGCCTCCGAGAACCGGTTGAAGCAGCAGCGCAAGAGGAAGAGGATGAAGCTCCAGGAAGAAGAGGAGGAAGATGATGAAGTGGAGAAGGAGAGCGAAAAGGAGGAAGATAAGAACAAGAAGAGAAAGATCAGAGACAAGCAGGACGGAAGATCTAACGAAGAAGAGGAACCGCCGCAGGAAGACGCTAAACCCATCGGTGAACCAATTAGGGTTTCTGGAAAGGGGAGAGGCCGGAAAAAACATTTTGATTCTTTTGAGTACGACGGAAACCAATACACGCTGGTATTCATTTTTTTTTTCACTAGGAATTTGAGGAAAATAGTATAGACTATTTGATTTGAATGCCTAGTTTCAAATTAATTTTTCTGTTGCTAGGGCTCACGTGTATGATTGTGTTATGGAAAATAATCAATGCGCTAGATGACACCTAGAGAGTGAGAAGAGAGGAAAGAGAAATAAGTGTATGATGTATAAGAGTGTCTATATATCATCATCCTTGTGTTATTTCTAAGGGCTTTGATTTCTGCAACTTGAATCAAGTAATTACAACACAGTAGTTGTCACTAGCAGTGCATTACTGCATTTTAAGGAAAAAAATTAGTTAATGCTTATTCTAAATCCAGTGGCAGTGTAATTTACATAATCTTTCCAAAGCCCACTCTTCGTATTTTCTGGCAACAGAGTGAGAAGTGCAGACGTTTCAGCTATGAAGGTGGCTTGTGCATTGTTTTTTAGGTTGATGGTTGATTTGTGAAAGTGGGTGCTGAAGACATTGTAAGAAAAGAAATGTGTTGTATTCGTGTGTTTTGATAACGCTTTTTCTGCAGGAAGATCCTATACTTCTCACACCTGAAGACAAAGACCAAAAGCCTTATGTGGCAATTATTAAGGTAACTTTTTTTGTCAAATATATACTTTTGCTTTAAGATGACAATAATTTTCGAATGTCTGGGAACATTAAGATGTTATGACATTTGGCAATCTGCCTTGACATAATGTACTGGATTTTGGTGATCATCAAGGTATGTCACCATGCATTGGCGAAAATGTAATAAATTCTGTCAGTAGTACATGGAATACAAATAACAATTTCCTGCTCATTAATAATAAATTCATGTTTCTTTATTATGTGTATAATATCATATTTTTGCATTCCCATTTTGTTCCCTTATTGGAAATTCCAGGCTTGTGCTGGAGTTAGCACATTGTGTTACCTTTTTATTTTGAGTTTTGGTAACTAGTTTACCAGTTTTTTTTTTTTGTTTTTTTTTTTTTCATGTTGTATGCATTGAATCTTGCTGAGAAGTTGAGCTGCATTGATGTTTTAAGGTCTGGTAATGCCGTTGATTTTTGTCCTCTGTCTTGTGGGAGAGGAGAGGATGGTGTTATCTTTTCTTTTTCTACAAAATGTAGTTATAGATTTTTTCTCTCTCTTAACCTTCTAATTTAGGGGTTGCTTTTTAAGGACATTACGCAATCCATAAATGGCAGCATGATGGTCACAGGCCAGTGGTTCTATCGACCTGAGGAAGCTGAAAGGAAAGGTGGTGGCAGCTGGCAATCACGTGATACAAGGGAGCTGTTTTATAGTTTCCACCGTGATGATGTACCTGCAGAATCTGTTATGCATAAGTGTGTGGTGCATTTTGTTCCCATACACAAACAGCTTCCAATTCGTAAGCTGCATCCTGGGTTTATTGTGCAAAAGGTGTATGACACAGTAGAAAGGAAACTCTGGAAGCTAACTGATAAGGACTATGAGGACAATAAACAGCAAGAAATTGATGAACTTGTTCAGAAAACTCTTCAACGTTTGGGTGAACTGCATGATATCGAGCCTGAAGAACCTGTTGCTGAACAGGAAGATCTGATGAAAAATAAAAGAATCTCGAGGAAAAAGAGCATTTCACCTCTCGATGTTTCAAAAGAGGAGGAAACATCTCGTAAGAGTGACCAATCTCTGAAACCTGAAACACCGGGGAGTTGTGCAAATAATGCTTCAGAACATTATCGTATACTAGTGGATTTTAATGCTCTAACTGGAGATACTCATCGTGACAAATGTTTGGAGAAGTTGCTTCAAAGTGTTCAATTCATATTTAACTCCGATGACAGCGCAAAGAAGGAAGACAAAGTAAATGACAATTCTGATGCAGTCAACAACGGGAACAATGACAAAAGTTCAGAAGTAGCAAATGAATGTAAAGACAAGGCTCAACAGGTACATGGTGATATGCTAAATTGTTTTGGTGATGATTTCTTGTGTGGGATTGCTTGTTTTCTCATCTCCTTCTATTTATTTCCCTTTTCTTTGCTAGTTGAGGGTTATAAGGATTCCAGCATTTACTTTTTTTTCACTCTACAGAGTTCCAAGTCTTTTATCTGGCCAGATGTTGCTGTTCCAGCTGTAGTTGCTCTAGAAAAAGCATCGCATGATACCTTTTCATCAGATTATCAGAAATATAATCAAAAGCTACGGCAATTAGTATTTAATCTCAAGGTTAGAAGCTTCTCTTCTGATATGGATTGTTAACTTGAAACGTTTTTAAATGATGCACTTAAATGATTAAAAAAATATATTGCTGCTACATTATTGGACTTTTTTTTTCTTCTATGGATATTTTGATTATAGTATTATTAAAAAATAATTTCTAAGATATAGAATGTGTGATAGAATGTTGACAATCTTTTCTTTGTCATATATTCCTTATGCTATCACTGATGAGTTATTGATTGTAATTTTGAAATTGCAATTATGTTTAAACTGCTTTATTTTCTCTTTTTTTGATGTAATTAACATATTTTCATATTTGTAATTCTGTCCAGTAGTTTTTAATGCACTAAAAATTATTTATGTTATGATGTTATTTTTCCCAGTTTTCAATTACGTAAAGTTTAGTTTAGCAAGATGTTTGGATTAAAGGAGGAGATGCAATCATATTCCATTGTTTGGATTGTGGAAAAAAGGGTAGCATGGCATGGAACCCAATAAAACTCTTTCCATGAAATTCTACTGCTTACCTTCATTTCCCCCCTACCCACCAAATTTTGGATGGTATGGGAGGGAAGTGGGAACGTGTTATGACTTTTTTTGTTTGATTATAAAATGCCATTGTTTCCCTACCAAAGCATCTTTTCCTTTTCTCCACACTGCTCAGCGGATGCAAACTTCTTCTCTCCATTATTTCAGCTCATCAGCACCCTGGATTACAATATTCCGTTACTTTTACTTAAATCCCATGAGTCATATCTAAATGTGTTTTTTTCTTCATAATAGTGTGGAGTTTTAACATGAAATTAGGCTTGCTGAGCAAGCTTTGGGAAGGCTCTTTATGGTATAATCTCATAAATTGTTCTTTTTATTTTGTTTTTATTACAAAACTTATTCCCTTTTCTGTATAAGCCTGCCAAATTTCATGCCAAAACCTTTTTTGGGTAAATACCATTTGCCATTAGTTTAACACTTATGGGGGTTAATTTCTGGAATAAGTTATAATTTTAACAGTTCTGGAAGTTAGTTTCTGGAATGTATTATCACAGTTTGGATATTAATTTCTGGCTCACTACCAGAATAAATTTCAGAAATTAATTTCCTGAAACAGGGTATTTTGGAAAAAAAAAATGTTGAAGGTGGATGCGGAAGTAATTTGCAATCGCCTTCAACTAAAATGAATTTTGCAAAACTTACTATAAGTAACTTACTCTGATGAAAGACCTAGAACAGATCAAGGAGGTGGGCTAAGTAAGTGGAGGGATGCTTACCTCCCTTCTCTATCTCTTCAGCTTAAAATAGCTTTTAGACGCTCATTACATATACTAGATGTTTGGGAAAATGAGAGAAGTTAAAAGTAAAATTCTTTAATGTGATAATAATGTGAAAAACTGAATTGTATAAATTAAATATATTGTCTGTAATCCTGAAACTACCTTTCTTTCTGAATTTTTATAAATAATTTATCATGAAAACAAAAATATACTAATTTTGGGCACACTTTCAACTCTTGTGAGCTTACAAGAATCCCATTCAAATTTTGTTGATTTTTGTATTTGAGCAGGATTGTTTAATTGAAACAAAATAAACTAAATTACTTATAATATGCTTATTGCAGTATGTATTCTTATAATGGAGAGAGAAAAGAAAAAATGGCTTGCCTAACAATAATTATATTTTGTTAATTACTAATGACATAATACTAGCATACAGAGGGAGAGGGAAAAGAGGGGTCAAAGAATAGAAGGGGCTGAAGAAATCGGGGTGTATGAAAAAAATATAAAAGAAGTGGCAAGAGGAAAAAGGGGAGGGGAAAGAGAAGAGGAGAACGACATAAAGGACTTCTGGCCTGAGAAAGTGGAGAGGGGGATATGAGAATCATACATTAGGCAGAAGTGAATGGGTATATGCAGAGGAAGGGCAAAAAAATTTGAGAGGTTTATGGTTAGGCTGAGTGAAGAAGTTAGTTCTTCCTCAGGAAAGGGATTTTTCCGTTTTTACTTCGTCTTCCATCTTGCAAGGAGCTCTTCTCCATCCTTAGCCACTTTTCATCTTCATTTCCTACTTCTATACTGTAACAGATGCTTTTCTTTTGAGTGAACCAAATTCAGTATAAACATTAAATAATATTAATCTTATCTATAACGATCTGGGTGCCTAACATAATGCCTAAATAAATTCATTATAACTACCACTGCTCTGGAGCTTTTTTTTTTGACTTGACATTAATATGAATATTTTCTTATATTATTTAATTCTGTAGTGATAATGATTTACTTATATTTGCTTTTTTCCTTTTGGCAGAACAATGCANTCTAATAAACTATAAATATTTACTTATTTAAATAACTACGATGAATATTGATATTAACATACGGATGAATATGTACATATTTCATTCTTGACTTTGTATTCAATTAAAAACAACAAATATTATTTATATATTTATTCTAATTAATGTGGGAATTTTTGCCTAAGAAGGAATTTGAAAACACCAATGTAAAAAGATATATTTATTACCTCTAATAGTTATGTAACATCTTTTTATTATTATTAATTTTATTTGTCATTAATTACCATTTTATTGCGATCCTTATCATCACTACTGTTACCTTTTATTATTATTTCTATTATTACTATTATGATATCTTATTATTTTTTTAACCTTATAATTCACACTAACATTCTATCAAATTAATACTTATTTTTTTCTCACCTTGAAATCATACTTTTATATTCTTTATTGTCTTAGTATATAATAACCATCAATTACATTATTAAAAAACACCATTAAAATTCATAATGGTAAAACATATTATAACAGCTGAAAACATTCCAAAAAGAAAGTGTATTATATCAATATCGATCGAACTCTACTTTTTTTTTTTTACATAAGATCATTTTATGTAAAGATAATCCTTTTACATTTTTTTTTCTAATTTTTGAATTTAGTACACACTTTTTTTTAAGTAAAAGAAACTTTCTTTCGTTAAAGTGTATAAATTAATTTTTTATTTACTTTTTTTTATTGATAATGAAAATACCAATTTTTTTTTTTTAAAAAAAAGCATGCTACACTCAACATTCTTATAGAAGTATAGTTTTTGAGAATTTTCATGAAGTGTTGTTTGCTCTCCTTAAATTTTAAGAAAAACAGAAATTTTGTGACGATAACATGAAAAACCCAAATGGTAAAAGCATGAAACAAAGAGTCCAAGATTCCGTGAGTTTGATGTGAGTCATTGAATTTGGGTTCTTCTCCGCCAAATCCAATCACATGCAAAGACCCTTCGTTGTCTTTGACCACCTCCCACCCCTATGCCATAAATAATAATTAAATAAAGCTTTTCCCTTTGTCCTTATTCATCTCACTCCAATTTACACTTCTACCCTTCCTCTTCCTGCCATGCAAATTTTTCTACAAGATGTGAAAAGCAACAAATCACCCTTTATATAGAAAATCTTCATACAACATATTTACGACACAACACTTTAATCTGAGTTTTGGCCAAACATCTTTCAACTCCTTTACTCATACAATTACTTGCCTTGCCCGATAGGGAAATAACAAGAAGGCTATATATTATTGCCAATAAATTTACCATAGCAAAACTGCAGATCTGATTCTCAACATTATTGCTGTTTNTGCGAATGTTCCAGAACAACCCAAACCTCCCCTCCACCGTGTCTTTCAAATTTTCATGGCTTTATAGTGCCATTTTTTCATGTAGAAATTAGTGATGTTCATTACCCGTTGTTTTGTATAAATATGGGAAGGGGTTACTGGTTGAGTGTGTATGGATTGGCATGTGCTCAGCTGGGAGTTCTGTTCATTGTGGAGTCTGTGAATCAGTTTGAAAGTGGATTTGGGATCATGGGGAGTAACCAGAGCAGCCAGATTGAGAGGTGACACCAACACATTCAACCAGACATGGTGAGGGCATAGACCAGGAAGACTGACGGAAGCGAGTGGCACCATCAGGAGGTGGTTGTCAGAGTAGAAGAAGAGCTGGACAGCTATGATGGGTGGCTAGCACTGAAGAAAATATCTATCATGGAATGTCAACAAATAAATATCTATTCACAGATTTGGTTCTTTGGTTGAATTCTACTGATTGCATGCTCCTGATGTCGTCAAGGTATTATTTGGCTTAGTAGCATGCTACTGAAAGGAGCAGTTTTGGTGTTGAGAAATGTTGATATGGTTTGAACTTTGTCGCGGAGATGGGATCCCATTTGGTTGGAGGAGTTATTGTCTTCATGTTTTCTTCCATTAGTGTATTGGAGAAGATTTGGAGAGGGGCTTCTGTCAGAAATAACATTTCTTAGGGACTGAATTGATTTGAAAAAAATATCATCTTATTGAATGTCAGCAGTTCTTTTAAATAACTAATATATCTGTTATTTATTTAATTGTGCAGTGATGGGCAAAATATGCTTTGGTCTACATTAAAGTCCTAAATTAACTGGAAATTTTGTTTTGATGTTCATGAAACCATGAACTTGTAAATTTTGGTCCCAGTTGTGTTTTTGTATGTGGTTACGATTTGTGTGCGGATTCTGCTTTATAGGAAGTACATGGTTTAGTAGGAAGTAGTTGCTACATTCTACAACAATTACAGTGTTTTTATTAATTTAATTGAATGTCCTTAAAAATATTATTCGTTTTATAACAATGCTTAGAAGTGTTTGAAGTCTCGAGTTCTCTTTTTAACGGTACAGCCGATAAATCACCATTTATTACAACTGACTCAATTTCGTAAAGCTTATTTTGTTTAGATTATTCTGACTGATGATTCTATAGCTTATTTGGTTATTCACTGAATGTTTGAATTCTAGGAGGGTTTGACTGCTGAGGAAACAAACAAGAAAGAGCCTGATGAGTCACAACAAATGCAGGTCACTTTCATTTCATGCCAAAATATTATAATTTGTTAAATTGTGTAGAGATATATGTTGACTGTTAGCTTTACTCTATATGGGAAACAGATGACGGGTGCTCGATGCCGTAGATGCAGTGAGTGTAAGGTGGGCTTGAGGGATATAATCCACGCAGGCCATGGTGATCGATATCAGGTTTGCGCATCATGTTCAACTGAAATCTGAAATTTCAAAACCATCTCCTATGCGTTACATAGATTTGCTTGATTGTTGCTCTGCTTGTGCAGCTGGAATGTATTGCCTGTGGTCATTCCTGGTTTGCCTCCCGTGATGAAGTGTCTGACCTGACTTTAGATGCATCAGATTCAAAAAGAAGTGTAGGTACAGCGCCATGGGCCACTGCAAAATTTGAAGATGTTGAGAAGAAGCTGGTTAGTCCCCGTGAATCTGAAAAGAATGACATATTTAAGAAAACAAGTGAAGCATATATGCCAGTTTTGGATTCCCAGAAATCGTTTGGCAAGTCTAGGAAAGATGAAAACGTCCAAGCTTCAAAACAGGTTGACTAGTGACTAGGAATGGTTATTCTATGCTATAGCTAGTTTTAGTATTTTTATGGTACTGATGGTAGCAAAAGATTGTATATACTTCGCCTTAAATAGAGCCATTGGTTATCTAATAAATAGAGCCATTGTTTATCTGTACAGCTTAAGTACATGTAAATGCTTATGTAGAGTGCTACTATAGCCATTTATCATAGTTATTGTCCTCGAACATCTTATTGGGTGTGATGATGTTTCACGTTTCATATTGTATAGCAGCGTTGAACATTGTTGAACAATGACTGTATAAAGCTTCATTGGAGATGAGAAAACAAGATAGTTTTGATGTAAAACTATGAAAGTATAGCAGATGGAATGAAAAAGAAGTGGTTATCTGGAATAATATATGAAGAAGAGTGATATTACCGGACATTTGAAGTTGAGAAGGAAGGTGAATAAAGAGAATGGAAGCAACTAGCAAGCCAATGGAGTGAAGTCACCCTTTTCACTTTGTGACTTTCCAAATAATTAAGAGTTAAATTAAATAACACATAAACTCAACCTTTCATACCACACTATTCTTCTAACACTATTACAAGCCTCGCAACCCCACTTGTAAATTATCTTTATTGTTATCATCCTTAATATTATAGGTTATGGTTGATCGTGAAGTTCTTTATTCCTTTTAACTTCTCATATTTATTATTATTATTATATTTTTTTTAGCAACCACCATCATGTGCTTGTCACTCATTCACCATTCTTTACTACTATATTATATCATTATCATTATAATTTTTATTCTCATAATCCTTAATTTCATCGATATCGCCACAATCACCATTGGTTGTTGGTGCCAAAATAGGCAGTCTGTCTCGACTGATAAGTAAAGTAGTAAAAAGGTGTTGGTTTAATCTAATTCGTATTTATCACTTATGATTTTCATGTCTTCGACATTATATCAAGTTATTGGACTATTTAAAAATAAATAAATATAAGTTAAAAGTATTTTGAAATATAAAATATAAAATTAAATATGTATTTTAAAGTCAATTAGCATTAATGAAATTAATTTAATTTTTAGATTAATTACTTTTCTTGAAATAATACTAAATTTTTCTTGAGGTTATATTAATCTCAAGTGGTATAAAGCTGAGATGTATAAATAGTATGTACGAAAACCTGAAAAATCTATCACTATGCATAGTGTTTCTGAGGATAGAGAAAGTAGTCTTGAGTAAAATGATATGGTTAAATTGTGTTTTAGTTATTCAAAATGCATGTTATATATGTCAAGGTTATGTTTTAGGTATATTGCATGTGAGATATGTAATATGGATATGTGTAGTTTTTTTTTTTCTTTATATGTTTTGGAATGGAACATTTCAAAGGATAGAAATGTGTGGTTTGTAGGTAGGGGGATTTCTTGGGTAAGAAATGGTGGAAAGTGGAATATGAGGACTTTGTTTTGAAGGAGAGGGGGAAAGTAGATTCCGTCCATAAGATTTTTGGTGTAAATTTTTTGGTGAGTAGGAGAAGTTTTAGTTCCGTAGAAGTCAAGCGAATGACTGGTAAACTTTGTGTGTTGGTATAGTTGGTAAACTTCGTCTCTAAATCTCTTTTAGAGACCATTGAAAAGTGAATTCTATTCATAAAACTTTAGGAGTAATATGAAGTTATAGTTTTTGTGGTGAGAGACTAGTTAGTCTGTTACATGCATGTTGTAGTTGAAAACCTGATATTTGTTTAATTATTTGAGAACGAAAGACTGAAAACTTTATGAGAATATGTAACAGTTGTGAAAATAGTTTATGAGACAACTTTGTATAAGTCAATGCCTTATTTCACTAGTGTGTGAGATCACGAGTGGTTGCATTATTGCTTTGATGACATGTTTTGAGTTAGGACATGATCATGGATCGAGTTAAAATGTTGGTTGATGTAATTATCTTTTTTATATTGTTTAGTTGTGAATTGTGATAGTAAAGTTGATTGCTTGTATGTTAAATTACTCTTATTTATTTGTGTGTGATGGTGATGATTGTATTTTTATAGGGAGCATATGTATGATAAAAATAGATGTAGGTAGAGATGCACAACAATTAAGAGATGTGTTGAGGTTTTAGTGGAGAGAGATTTATTTTGGAATAATGTATTTGAGATATTTGAATTCTATTTATAATCGAGTTATTTTATGGATTAGATTTTGAATTTTGGGTTTGATTTTGAGATTAAATAGAGATTTGATAGTTAAGTTTTTTATTATAATTCAATTAATTTAGTAAGATGTTAGAGACATTTTAAACGTAATGATATATATATATATATATATATATAT